AAGATTTAAAAATTATTGTTTATATTAAAACATAATTTGAATCTAATTTAATAATTTTTATTCTATTTTCTTAATTAATACTTTTAATTGATTATAATTCTTTCTAGCCTTATAGTCAATTAATTTTTTGTTAATAAATATATATATATATATAATTGATGAATAGTATTTCAAGCCAAAACGAGTCGAACACGATCGTTCGTGTTCGGCTCAGTAACTTAGCGAACGAGCCGAACACGAGTTTCTTAACGAGCCGAACATGAGTTGTTCGCGAACAACAAGCCATTTTGACAGCCCCACCCACCACCCTTTCAAGGGGCTAAATTTTGCTTCATATGAGTAGCATGTAAAGTTTGAATGCATCACCAAAAGTCATAAAGCTATGCCAAATCAAAATGATATAACAAATGGAAGCTATGTTACGAGAAATGTATTGAAGATGTGATTGTAATTGTTTAGCTATGAAGAATTTATGGATTAATTTTCTTTATCACCCTCTTCACCAAACAAAAGCTTATCTCCTTCAAATAGACCATCATTCAATTTCCCACTTAACCATTCATTGCCATCATCCATGACAATCAAAGGTATGGGTTAAATACCTTTATCTCTAACTCAAAACCTTATCATATTTCAAATAGATCAAATCCTTGGAGAAATCAAGATCTATCTTGCATCTTATTAAGATGCAATTATTTACTAAAACAATTAGTATTTTGTTATCGAATAATGAACACTTTCACATTGTATTTGCATGTTGAAATACACTCTCATTATATTCACATCCAGATGAACCAAATGAAAGATGAAGCTGTTGCTCCAATTTGTTATCAAATCTAACTCTGATTACGAAGACGTTCTTATTTAAGAGGATTCCTCGGATGAAGACTTTTCTTATTTGAAGAATAACACTTGATAGCTTTAGGAATGATTTTTAAGTTATACAATTATGTTATTTCCAGACCCAAATTAATTTGGTATGGAATGGCGGATTTCAATCAAAAAATGCATCACCAACATAACGATCTCCTAAACTGCTAAACTAAGCATACAATGTGAAACATCTACAGATGTAAACCAGCAAGCAATGGAAGAGAGAGAAATTTGGATCCCAAGTCTAGCTATCACATTCATCTACATACCATTTTCATGACCACCTTGGTGGTTAGATCTAGCATCCGCGAAGCAGAGGGGAGTACCTAAAGAGTGCTAAAATCTAGTCGCAAGTTTGGCGTAGGAAGACAGTTTAATGTCAAGTTCCCCCTCCATCTTCCTCGCCCCAACTGGATTGCTGAAGCTCTAGACTCGCATCCATCATATCGACGTCCACGTCCACTTCTTATACCCTTCTTCTCCCTAGCGTTACCCTAGCGGCACCAGTGGTAGAGTTGCTGGCTCCGACGACGATCAAGAAGAGGAATCCCTAACGAGGAACAGTAGAGACGCTGCGGCAGTGCATCTTTGCTTCCCTCCGCTCTTCGAATCTTCCCGTCAGTCCCAGTTTAGCAAGGGTAAGGGGAAAAAGCTGGAGGGCGAACGTGGATCTCGGGGATAAACCCGCGGTCCACGTTTAATAGAAAATAAAAAATGCAGTTTTTAAAAACTCACTTTAAACGCGAGAATCAAATAGTGAGACGGCGTTTTGAAAATGATGCCGCACTTATAAGCTGTCATATGCAATGTAACCCAAACAATAATTTAACTTTAATGTTACACTGCAATATAAGAAATGAAATAATATTCAAAAAGTGTATCATTGACGATATATAGTATGATTCCAACACGTGAAGACAAGCACATTATCAAAAAGTGTAAAGGCTACATTAAGTAGACGAAGAGTTGTATAGACCATATACTATAAGAAAGTAAAAATGGTTGCATCAAGTAAACAAAAAGGTTTAAAGAAAACAAGCTAACAAGAAATATAAAATTTATAACCAAGCAGAAATAAAATACTATTAGTATGAAAGAAAACAAGCTAACAAGAAATATAAAATTTATATCCAAGCAGAAATAAAATACTATCAGTATGAGTATCAGTATCAGTATCATTATCCTCCTCGTCAGTGTTGTGCTCAAGTAAATCAATCGGCTTCTTTACCTTCTAGATAAGAAGGGGGATCTTCAGATGCCTAGCTAGAAGATAGGCCCTCAATATCAGGTCCAGTTCAATGGTGCACAGCACAAATCCCATTCAAGAAGCCTCATATGAATCCTTCCTCAATTCTCTCGCTGCTCCTTTAATTCAACATCAAAGATATAATCATGAGCCACCTGTATGTGATCTTGAATGAAGCCTTAAAAATTAGCAGAGTTTTTGAAATCTTTGATAGCCCTTGATCCAATTCCAACAAAATCAGTCTCCTTCTTCGACTTCAACATCTTTTTCTCCTCTTAAAGGGCAGACATTTTAGCTTTTAAAGCCTTCAAGCACTTGGAACTTTGACTAGGATCACCTTGTGACTCTACTAGCTCTTCTTGAGTCTTCTCCAAAGCCTGACATCGCAAAGAGAAGTCGTCATCGTAGATAGCTTGGTTCTATACTCTGTTAGCTAGCTTTCTAAGGTTGGAAGATCTTCAGCCTTAATATCATATATCTGCTTAAATTCGCTCAAAAGGAATTTGAATTGCATTCTTTCAAGGAAATATTCAACTCCATATCAAGGTCCATCTTTTTCAGCATCTAAAATGGACAGTTTTATGTCAGATAAATGAAAGCAAAATAAAAGAAAAGAAATCCTCATATGCAAAAAGACTTGCATATTCCTCAGCTCGCTGGAATCTAGTACATAAGTGATTCAACATTTCTTTCAGAATATGAAATTTTGAAGAGCTAGTCAAAGGATTTTTAACAACATCATTCTTCTTACTTTATTTCGGAAGAAGAATTTCAAATCACTATCATGTGAAATCCGCTGTAAAGGGATGGTAGGATCCGGTTCAGGAGGCATTTTTTCAAATTTCTTCAACATCGTGGACTCTTCATTCACAAAGTTATTGAAGTATTGTACCTCGAACTGCATATGTTTAATATCATGAATCCAAGCATCATCAATACAACATCTATTGTGATAAGAAGAGGAATATGGAGCTCATGCAGTTTTCCTCGACAGTCATGAAGTTCCAGTCATTTTTCACGAAAAAAAATCCAGCAAAGCATTTTTCTTAATGGATCCTTCATTCGAAGATCTAATACTTTGCTTCTAAAAGATATATGTTCATGCACATCATCAATATACATGTCTATCCTGACTAAAATCCCCAATGTTACTTTAGCCCCACATTTTTTGAAAAAGAAGATCAATCCAACAGCAATAGTCATGACTCAATAAGAAAACTGAGAAATACATACCCGGTCACTGAAAGAACATCCTTCAACTCAATCACAAGTGGAAATTGAAGGCCAACACGCAAATACACCTCATCAACTATAATATCGTAGGGAGGAGGCAAACAAGCTCAATTAAATGAACCAAGCAACTAAAACACCATATCACTCAAAAAATTTAACTTCTTTCATAAAAGTACAAAGCATCATCAATAATTGTCAACGCCATCTCATCGAGATTCTTACACTTTTTGTGGCCTTTTGGAGGTCGAGATTCTCTAAACATTGGAATATCGAAGGGAAATCAATCACAACAATCCTTCTCTTGAAAGCAACAACAACCTAAGTTGGGGAAGGCAACAACAACTTGTATCAGGGAAGACAACACCCCATGTCATGAAAGGCAACCGCAGCGTGGAGAGAGAAGCAACTACAACTTGAAAGGAGAATGTGACCGACCTTTTTCTTTTTGTAAATCGACAATTACAAGAATTTGATGACTCTACTAGAAGATTTAAATTCCGGCAACGGCGCCAAAATCTTGACTGCGACTTTTTATATATATGTGTTTGATTTAATAAAGATGTATAGATATAATATTCAATAATGTCAAAGTCGAATTTGTCAACGCAAGTATACGTATCGCTCAAGTA